GAAGTGGACAGAGGTTTAGGTAGTTTAGAGAACGTGGCTTTGTGGCAGTTATTGATGTTAAGGAAGAGATGATTCTTGGAGCACCAATTATAGAGGTTGTTGAGTTCAGATTTTTCTTTCTTTTTTTTCTTACTCCCTAAGGCGTAGCACGGCCCTACATCATTAAATGTACACATACAAACCTAATAGTTTAAATATTTTGGGACGTTAGGCGTATCCCTGATGCAGGTGCACAGCACTTGAACCAATATTCCGACTTAAAACGTTTAATTTTATCCTCAGAGTTAAAAAATGTAGGGCCATGCCCTAATTAATAGTAAATTTTGGTGGAATAATGTGGTCGTTTATGAAGAACTTGCAAATTCCCGCTTCAAAATAATACCAATCCAATGTTTTTCCTTAGTAAAAATGCGTTTCTGACAAAAAAATTTTCTGGATGTCAAAGCAGGCTTTCTCCTCTTTATCTTTGTGCTGCAATAACTTGTTCCCATGTCTTACATAATGTCCAGTCACTTGCTTTGTGGTGAAAAAGCAGTAATTTTTGATTTTTAATCAAAGTTTTTTGGTATTCAGAGACCCTCCAACATGCCTAGCCTAGCAAATTGCAATTTTTTGTGGTCTCTTGATCTTGCAGACTGAGGTCCGCACTTTTATCGCTTGTTTAGATAACCATTAAAGGGACATTTGGCCGATATGATTTCTTTCTTTATAGCGTAGCCTTTCTGACCGTTTTACAAAAACTTTAAATTCTTTTTGCTTGGGTTGTGCACAGCGAAAATCCCACGCGCCGTGATTACACAATTGCAGGAAATGAGCCAGAACTCCTCTTTGAATTATAAAATTCAGCAAATACTAAGAGGGTGTAAAACTGGAACAATCCAGTTCATTTTTGTTTGGTCATTTTTTTCTGAGTTTCGTTTAGTTAAACATCGCTAAGGCGAAATGCGTTTGAATTACCATAAAGCAAATAAACTGAAGAAGTACATTACCACAAACTTAACTTTCCGTTCTATTGTTCCAGTTTTACTCTTCAGTGTATGTATGTATGTAGATAATAACTTGCAAAGCCTCTAGTTAAATATACAAGCTAAGAAAATTTTTCATATCCACTATTATTATTAAAGTGAAAATCATTTACAGTAGGGAGCATTTCCTTTCGTAAGAAATTCCGGCTCGTATAGAAAAAAGTGCAAAAAGCAGTCAGCAAAAAGAGACATATTAAAAAATCAACGCGATTTTGCAGCCGCTTAAAACTTGCACTTTGTTGTACTAAAATTTAATGGGGTACAAAGCTGCATACTAAAAAAATTATATTATCAGATTAAAAAGCTCAAAATTTCAATGAAAATTTTTAACATTTTTCTAAGCTCTTTATAAAGTTTTAAAGTGTGATTTATATGGCTTTGGTTAAACCATGAACCATATTTTTATGAAAACAACTTTAAAAACCTTGCAAATATTTAGCAAAAATCACCATGTACTCATTTTTGCACCCCACTGTACATATGTAAGTATGCTCGCAGGTAGAACGATATTTAGAAGTATCACCAGTTGTGTGTTATGTACAAGGTCAGATCAGCTTTCTTAAAGCAAATAAAATAAAACATTAAAGTCTTCAAATATTGAGAAAAAGAAGTATAACCAATATGTAGTTTGTATTGTAGATATTTATTCAGTAGTATAGGTAGGTATTAATACACTTTGTGTATAACATCCTTAAAAAAGTATTCAAAAGTGAAACAAAAGGTAATCAAAAGTAAAAAAGGTATATAAAAACTATGTTAATCTTAGTAATCCTCTGAAATCTCATCTTCAAAAAGTGGCAAATTATTAATTGCGTAGTTTAAAAATATCGAGTTTAGCTTTACTAAACCAAAACAAACCAAACCGGCGCAAATTGGACCAATTATGTTTTTAAATTGGGAGAATTGAGAACATTGAATGGCACACTGTCTTCGCCATGCCACTGAGTGAGTTAATAAACTGCATACTCAAAATCTTTCTAGAAAATCTAATTAAAAAGTCGAACTTTTTACGAAAGTTTGTTGATTTTTTTTTTTTTTTTTTTAATACGGTTTTCGTTAAGGAGTTAACTATATATTTATAAAAAAATAACTCAAATTAAATAACAAAATAAATAATTGTGAAAACTTGGCAAATTTTGGTGCGACTACAATTTTTTCGACCACGTATGTATGTAAATATTATATAAAAATTTTGTATTTTTTATTTGTTAACTAACTTTATAAAAGTTTGGTTTCGTTTATGAATACATAATAATAAAATTAACATAAAGACCAGCAATCTATTAAAATAGATAATTTTTTTATTTTGTAAATAAGGAGATATCTGGATGATATCTAGGGATGGGTGGGGGATTTTACGAAATTTCGGGCAAAATCGGGGAATTGCATTGTCGTAATCGGGGAATTCTCAAAAATGAGTTGGCTACCCTGGTAGCGACTGTCAGAGATCCACTGCAGGATTGTGTTGTGTAGGTCAATACCTAAAAATCTTCGTTGACTCATTTACCAGAACCATAGATAGATAGATAATAAAATAAGGTTTGCACCGCGAGCTATTGGTCTATTGTGCCCTCCACTCTTCACAATACCTCCATTAAACCTAATTCCCTGAGAAAATTTTACAGTGCCTTAGGAGATAGGGAGTGAATGTGCATAAGCTGTGGCCACATTGAGCCTAAACTTCTCTCACGTCTTCTGCAGTCTGCATCACATTCGTGGAGGATGTGAAGAGGTGTCGCGCTGGTAGTGTCGCAAACCAGAACCATTGTGAGCTTTACTTTACAGCGACTTGGCAGAATCAATAGGTCTCCACGTATGTCGACAAACACAGCTATGCGGCATTTTAGGGAATTTCGTCTTTTTAGCCTACATTGAATTTCTGTAGGCCAACGACTCTCACCCATTTTGTCGTGTCGACAGCGAACGCAGAACAAACATTTTTTAAAATTTAAAAAGTAAAAATTTCACTACTAAAAATTGTTACTGTTCTTAAAGCTTGCAAAGAAATCTGGAAAGGAAATTTCACTGTTTTTGTTTTTAGGAGTAAGGTGCGAGAGTCATTGATAAAATTAGAGTGAGAGAAAGTTTTTTATACAAAACCTTTCATTATTGAATCATGGCTAGTACCTTAAGCCGTACAAAGGTTTATAAATTGAAAAAGGTATGAAGACGTCAATTTATAAAGCTTTTTATACCTACTATATGTTTCATGAATAAGGCCATAAATCTGTAGACTGAAATTAAATAAATAAATCAAATAAAAGTAAAAAAAAATCGTTTTAGGTTCCAGGCTAATTTTTTCATGAAAATTACTGAGATAAGTTATAAAAACATTATTTTACGAACATTTAGACATCTTTGCAAAATTATAAAAAAAAAATTGATATATTATTATTAACAGTTTTCGGTCCTGGTTGACCATTCTGTGGAAATGGTCATATCTGTGGTCATAAGCAATAACT